AAATCCCATAAAGCTTTCTAATGCACTTCGTACACATTTTTTATCTTACGACCCTCGGCCATTTTTAAAGAACCGCGGTGAGAAAGATGAGTATCAATGGCGGGCTTAAATCGTAACTCACCACAGATATACGCCTGAAAGTGCGCATTCGCAGAAAAAGATAGCTAACGGGCGGGCGAGCATGTAGGACGGCCTTACGTAAACATATCACCAGAATGATTGACAATTAGGAGGACCAATTATCTAGATGATCCACCCAGAAATAAAAGATAGTCCTCTGTACCTTTAATTTTGCCCTAGGCTTCTATGGAATGAATGGATTCAAAGCATGATGACATTTTATGCGTTGAATTTGATTGAAAAACAAAAGATTCTAAAGGGTAATAGCACATTTTTAAAGCAGTGCAAAAAAGATGCTGATAAGAAAACAGACATTTTTAGCTTGTTATCACCCCAGCAGTCTTTCTCTCTTACAATGAAGCTTGGTGTTACCTGAGAAGCACAAACCAGGAGAAAAAAAAGTGTTTGGATCATTAGGGAGTGAGGGGAAACTGTTCCCAGAGATATAGTACATTAAAAACACACTGCATATGAACCCGACTGGAGACCGTGTTTCCTGTGTTTCCTTCTTTCCTCCTTTTGTTCAGTTGTCTTGCCCACACTGGGAGTATGAACACAGCTCTGGCATCTAAGACAAATCTCCCCGTAGAGAAAATAAGTTATATTGAAACAATATAATTAAGAAAAGGCAGCAATTTACCTGATTTGGTCTAACCCACTTTAATTTACCCTCTCTCAGAGTTTTAAGAACCTGATTGTTTTGAAATGTCTTTAGAGGATCTATAATTTATGCTTGTGGGACTTTATAACACTTGCAATTACAATCAGCAAAAGAGGCATCTCTGTTTGACATGAGGTAACGCATGTACTCATTTTGTTGTTGACAGCAGTTAAAAATCTCCTTTGTTCAAATCAACTCATTGTGATTTATTCCATATATCAAAGATAATTGTCCAACATTTAACACAGGTTTCAAAAGACAATAGGCACATGTGCCAGGACTACTATGATGAGGAATTCATTAAGAGAACCTTATAACAAGAATAGTAGTAATTACTTTCTATAATCAGGCTATACATAAACCATTTACAATACTTTATTTTTATTGTTAGAAAAAGCCAGCATTTTCAATCCAGACTATCAGAGCAGTCCTGTTGGATACGCAGCGTTGAAAACCGTAGTCTCCTGGGAAACTACCGTATTTTATCCCTCTTTCCCCCCCATACTGCTGCATTATTAGTCTCCTGAAAATGTCCTGTATTATAATAGATGATGTGTACACGGCACTTAGAACGGGGCTGCGTATCAGGATGGTGCCAAAGCAATAAGTGAAAAAAAAATTAAAGTTTGCATTTTTTGCATATAACAGCACCATACATATTAGATTAGATTAGATTAGATTAGATTAGATTTAACTTTATTGTCATTTCACAAGTACAGGTACAATGCCACAAAATGCAGTTTAGGTCTAACCAGAAGTGCAATAGCAGCAAGTCCAGGATATACAATGCTATTAGTTTTATAAAAAAATAAAACTAAAACTTGGACAGAAGCTTTCCGATTTAAAGTGCAATGGAAGGTAATTGTATATTACAGTTAAAGTACGATGTTGCAAATATATATGAAAACAGGTAAGTAGTGCGAGATGCATTTAAATAGCTGGTACTATAGTAACAGTAAGCAGTTTGGGCCAGGCTAGAGAGTTTTGTTATTCTATTTCATGAATAAATTCGTAACATTATGAGTATGAAGTAATAAAATTACGAGGATAAAGTCGTGAAATGAAGAGCATAAAGTCCTAAAATTACGAGAAACAACTTGTATTTTATGACAACTCTTAAGAGAAGCACTTTCTTCCCTAAAATGAGGAATGTTGAGCATTATGTGAAGTTATACTTTGACAAATAAGGAAATCTTTTAGCACCTGCATCAAATTGGGCTGCCATCTGCTGGTCGGAGCTCGAAGCTTTCTCTCTGAAATGGTGTTGGTGTATGATGACTTCATTCTGGTAATATTACAACTTTATTCTCGTAACATTACAACTTTATTCTCGTAATATTGTGACTTTATTCTCGTAATGTTACGACTTCATTCTGTTAATATTACAACTTTATTCTCGTAACGTTACGACTTTATTCTCGTAATATTACAACTTTATTCTTGTAACGTTTCGACTTTATTTTCGTTATTTTATCACTTTATTCTCGTAATGTTACGACTTTGTTCTCCTAATTTTACGATTTTCGTCACGTAATACTATGACTATATTCTCGTAATGTTACGACTTTCATGTCGTAATGTTA